CAGTGCAAAATGAACAGTTATAAGTCAGTATGTGAGGCTCACTTAGCAGTTCTTATTAAAAAAAAAAAAAAAAATAGCATGTCTGTTTTTTCGGGAGACAGACAAGCCCTCTCTTCACTGATGATGTCCTGAGGACCGTATATGATTTATATGTGATTTTCATGAGATTCTGCCTATTTTTATTGCAATACAGGGTGTGTACAGTACATGAGAAATGCTAAGCAGGTGTAGCGATTAGCTTGATATAAAAGGCTACAAATATGTTATTATGCAATGTCTGCAACATTTAATGACCAAAACCCACATTAGACCGCAATCAGAAGTTATTACAAACACTCGATGGTGGTTTAAATTGAGTTTTGAGTAAAAGCATAGTATAAATTGTCTTATGTAGCATGATGCTACAGTGTGAGTGAATGGTCACGTAGCATGCGTTTTCCTTGATGCCTCGCCAGAGCCAATCACTGATTTAGGCACATAAAGCATGCTGCATGCTTATTAGCTCACTGACTTTGATGAGTTTAACCCCTTAGGTATCAATATTTGGTAGCGAACGACAAGACATTTTTAGATACTCGATAGTATCAAGGCAATTCGGTCAGTGCCTAAAAAGAATTGAACTCGATACCCAGCCCTAGTTAAGACTAATTAAGTACATTTTTGTGTCTATTTGACAATAGTTTATTTAAATGAAAAGTGAACAGCTGGTGAAGTGACTCTCACTGACTCTCTGACAGACTCTTGAAACATCACGAGCATCACGCATGCAGTAGTATGTGCAGTAGACCAAACTGTGCCGCTCATTCACACAGAACATTTACGCAGATTTCATATTTCAATAGCAGGCCTTTTGCGGTTTGTTCACAGACACTCATCCTTATCGCCATTTGATGAAGTGTACAGCACTACTTTTGATTCATTCATCCTAAATTTGCCAAATTCCATGACATTCTGATTTATACAGTCAAATCGGCATTTATGACAGGATTCCACGATTCCTGCATTGTGAAACTCATAGGGCCCTACGTGCATGTTCTGCTATTTAACAGAGAAACATTGCACACGCTTTCACTATTACTCCATTCTAGCGGCAAAAGGCTTCAGACAGCAATGTAACATTTGAAACGGGTGTTTGATCTCTGGAACCTGTGGTTAATGAAGTCACTTCCGACTAAATCCACTCCAGTGGGAGTAACGTATTCGAGAAGCCGTGTGATGAAGCTACTGAGCTTTTGGCTAATTGCACAGGGAGCTTTGAGACGCAGCACAGTAAATATGACGGCAGAAAAGGATTGTTCTGTTCTTTCTGTCTCTTTTCACTTGACTCATGTCTCAGTCTCAAGTAGACAGACTTTTCAGGATCGCTATAAAGTCTGGCTCACTTTGCTGCTTATTTTTCCCAAGAACTAAACAAGAACTTCCCATCTAGATGGGAAGAAACCGTCTAATTAACCTCAGTTGGTTTGCTTCTACATGCTGTTTAAGGGCAGTTAAAGGATCAAAGACATGACAACATCTATTAAAGTGACAGTTCACCCAAAAACGAAACTTCTGCTATTTACTCATTTATTCACCTTCAGCTTGTTCCAAACCTGTTTTTTCTTTCTTCTGTTGAACACAAAAGAAAATATTCTGAAGAATGTTGGTAAGCAAACAGTTGATGGTACCCAATGACTTCCATAGTATGGGGAAAAAAATACTACGGAAGTCGATGGCTACCGTCAACTGTTTGCTTACCAGCATTCTTCAAAATATCTTCCTTTGTGTTCCCAACAGAAGAAAGAAACTCATAGAGGTTTGGAACATGATGTCACGTAATGCAACCAGCGTGCAGAAAAGTCATGTCGGAATTACCATAAAATGTAAAAAGCCTCAACTACCCAGAAGTCCTCACAGAATTTCTAATTATAATTTGTAAACTTGGAATTTTCCGAAAGCTCCGAATTGTACCACCTGATCACTGCAATGTTACATGCAAACACTCAAAATAGCAGCGGCTTTAGCAGTAAGATGTAGTTATCTCATAATATTTCTGTAAAATAATTATAATAATTGACTATTATATTCATGTATTAATAATGCAAGGTCTGAAAATAAACTAAACACATAATACAGTTCAATGTTGCTAACACGAAGTTAGATAATTAATGTCTAATGTCCTGCTAAATAAACTTGAAATTATTCAATTTTAAGTTGTAATTATCAAAGTTATTTGCATAACGACTGACTTTTTTTGTATTGTGGTTTTGTTTGATTACTCAAATTACACAGATTCATTTCAATATTAATAATGTTATAAAAAAATATATACATAATTACATGGATTCATTTCAACGGTAATAGTGTTGCCATTGAAACACACAATTTTGAGTCCAAGGAGACTATTTGCAAAACATGCTTTTGAATATATTTTTGAAAATAACGATTAAGGTGTGTACACTGACATCCCTTTCACATGTAAGGAAAATATGTTATTATTGACTTGACAGTTAAACCACATGACATTTTTACAGTTTTTAAATGTAAACTTTAGTTAAAAACAACAAAAGTTTTACAAATCGATATAAAATGAGCATGAAAACAGAGATATTTCTATTTTTCTAAGATATTTTTAATCTTTTCCTTATTTTTAACTCTTATTTGTCATTGATCCTATCTAAAATGGTTCAAGCTGCAATAATATAAATATATATATATATATACTGTATATATTGTTTGCTAATAATTTTTTCAGCAAACTTTTTATGGCTGCCTGGATTTTATATTTGGATTAAATCGGATCATTAGCATTATCAGATCATTCGTCATCATCTGGACATGTGTTGATCTTTACTTGATAAATACTGCTTATTTCATATATAAAACAATACATAAATACTGCTCATTTCACACATAAAACAAACCAGAACATGCAGTTCTGTTCACGTTTGCCTGCTACTTCGTGTCTGAAACCAACCTCTGAATGTCCTTCAAAGATTTGAAGCCACTACCCTGGCAAATCCAGTTAATGATTTCTCTCACCAGTTTAAACAGGGTTTTGTTTTAATAAAAACCTGTGTGCCCACATTGCTGTCAGCCAATCTGACAGGAGATTGTGATTCTTTTAAGTGTTGCGTGTAATATGCATTAGACAGTCAGCAAATGGCCTGTGGATGTCTGAGTCTGAGACTGCATATCTCACGTGGTGCCTGTTGCAGATTTGTCACTTATATTAGAAGCATATGGAAACTCATATATTGGCAGAACGTCCCAGTATCCCAGAGAGAAATGAGTTCCAGCACTGAGGCCTGATGGATAATCGAGCCTTTAGGCTGTTCGTTCTCTTATATGCTTCTGTATTACCAGCCCGGGGCCATGGCATTCGATACTAGCGTCCAAAGAGGAAGCTGATAAATAATTTCTCATTCCTCTACAAATCATTATTCAAATATAACGTACAAAGACAATGTATGCAAACAAGTATGCAGTCATGTTTGGGTCATATCTTAGTGCAGGAACGTGCAGATCCTCATGGGCAGGGGCTCAAATGTAAAATAGAAATGTGACCCTGGAGCACAAAAGCAGTGTTAAGTCGCTGTATGTTTGTAGCAATAGCCAAAAAATACATTGTATGGGTCAAAATGATCACTTTTTTTTTTTAATGCCAAAAATCATTAGGATATTATATAAAGATCATGCTCCATGAAGATATTTAGTAAATTTCCTACTGTAAATATATCAAAACTTAATTTTTGATTAGAAATATGCATTGCTGAGAGCTTCATTTGGATAACTTTAAAGGCGATTTTCTCAATATTTAGATTTTTTTTGCACCCTCAGATTCCAGATTTTCAAATACACTCTTAAATATAAAGGTGCTTCACGATGCCATAGAAGAACCTTTTTGTCTAAATGGTTCCATAAAGAAGCTTTAACATCTGAAGAACCTTACTGTTTCACAAAAGCTTCTTTCTGGCGAAAGAAGGTTCTTCAGATTATAAAAAGGTAAGAAAGAGATGGTTCTTTAAAGAACCTTTGGCTGAATGGTTCTTTGTGGAACCAAAAATGGTTCTTCTATGGCATCGCTTGAAGAACCTTTTGAAGCACCTTTATTTTTAAGAGTGTAGTTGTATCTCGGCCAAATATTGTCCTATCCTAACAAACCATACATCAATGGAAAGATTATTTATTCAGCTTTCAGATGATGTAAATCTCAATTTCAAAAAATTGACCCTTATGACTGGTTTTGTGGTCCAGGGTCACAAATATATATAGGTCAAAAGTTTAGATACATTACTATTTTATGTTTTTGCCAAAAAAAATTATCAAGCCTGCATTTATTTGATCGAAAGGTTTCAATAATTTCAGTATCATTCCTCCAGTCTTCAGTGTCACATGATCCTTCAGAAATCATTCTAATATGCTGATTTATTATCAGTGTTGGAAACAGTTGTGCTGTAATAAATCAGCATATTAGACTGATTTCTGAAGGATCATGTAATGTTGAAAATTCAGCTTTCCATCACAGAAATATATGATATCTGATATTAAAATAAAAAAAAACATTATTTTAAATTGTAATAATTTCACAATATTAATCAAAAAAAAATTTTTTTTGATCAAATAAATGCAGCATAAGATGAGCATAAGAGACATTCATAATGATGCATAATTATCAAAAATGGTAATATAATAAAGTTTTGAGTGCTGCACGGTTTTGTGCAGTGCTTTGTAGTCAGTTGAAAAAATTGCTTGGTTTATTTTTTCCTTCTGTCGACCCATAGGCATAGACATCAGCAAAACACACGCAACCCATAGCAACACGTCATGGCAATGCCTCAGACTGACAGATATGTAAAAATACACATTGTCATGTTAATTATAATTCAAATGCATTTTGTTTTATTGACCACAGTATTATCATTGCTATTTGTCTGAGAGGGGCACTTTTGAGGGGCTCGAGCACCCAAAGCCTCCCCCTCCCTCTGTCTTAGTGGATAAACATGAAAGTTGAGACTGACCACTGCTGTTTCGGCTCTTCCTGTTGTTTTTGCCCCCCGTCAGCAGCATCTTCAAGCTGTTTTTAAACATGCTGGCAGCAGGCAGAGAAGGCTACTCAGACACCTGTAGAGGAGGAGAGAAAGGATGCGTTTAGCAATGCAAACACTAGGAACTGATTTTTAAATCAAATAGTCAATACTTTATGAGTCAATGGATGTGACATGTGATGCTGATACAGTATTAAGCCTGACATATGAAATAATAAAAGAATGTGCATGTGTGTTTTGTTGCGTATCATATTTGATGTATAAGGCTTTTAAGGCTCATATGATATACTGAGAATATGGAGCTCATACTTGAGGCGGAAAAAAATAACACCTGTGTTTTATTTCTATGGCCCAAGCTTGTAATATAAATCAATGAGAACAGACTATGTACATAAAATGCATATAAATCAGTTGATTTCATAAGATTGACCAATGTAAAAAAGTAAATCATATAAATCAGTTGTCACTCTATATCTCCCTATATATCAACTACAAGCCTTCAGTTGTCGAGGCTTTCGAATTTTGACTTTATAGGGTTAAAAGTCATTGGATGTTTATATTCTAACAAAGGCACAATTCAAATCGTTGTTGACAAATTGCACTAAACGTGCATTGAAAAAAGACACCGCTTAACTTCATGCATCCACACACAACCAGAGGCACGACAAAGGCTTTAGAGAGGATGTGAATTACCAAAAGCCATTATGTGTCATGCACTAAACTGGCTTAATGATTTCCCCTATATAATCAAATTCAGAAACAGGCAAAAGAGTGTGTAGAAAACAATAACCCCCCCCCAGCTTATTTAGATTGAAAAATTGGAGGTGTAATGCTTGTGATAGCATGCGAGTACAGTAGAGAGAAAGTCGAGCTTTTATATTATCCAATAACATTAGCAGGGACACGTCTAGAGTGCTTCCTGTTTGGGTGGGTGAATATAGAGAACATTAGCATATAAACTAAGCGACTGCCTCTTCCTGTTCTCTTTAGCACAGTCTCAGTCTCTCACTCTCTCCGTCTGAGACAACTAATGAAAGCAATCAGTTTGACTGGTTAGCATGGTTTGCCCCTGCTGGTAGGTGTCGTGACTACACCACTGCAAACAAAAGATGTCCCCTCAAAAGTAGCCATTCTGACAAAATGAAAATATTAAATACAATTATTTTTATTTTAAATTCAAAATGTTAAATATATTTGTTAAATACAGTTTTTTTTAATTTTTTTTATTGTGCTCTCATATTTATTTTGTGTTTTTGTAATGCCATCGTTTTGTTATCATTTTTGTAAAAAAAATTTGGCTGTTTGGTATTGGAAATGGTAACTATTTACAATTTTTCATAGTGTGATATTTGGTAAATTGTATACAAACCAGTTAATGTCAGTAAACACTATAATAATTATTAATTATAATAAAAGTACATGGAACCCACAACAATTTTTTTTTTAAATGAGGTCTTCAAAAATGAGATCGGTCTTCAGCAGATCACCATTGTCAAGTATAGTAATTATTCACATGGCATTTACAAATCTCAATCAATCAATTTGTAACTGTAATCCAGAGCCTATGAGCCAAGATGGCAGACTTCAAAGAGAGACAAACTCTTAAAAAAAAAAAAAAATAATAGAGAACAGAGAAAGAGGCTCTTATTTTTTTATTTTATTTAAAATTTAAAAAGGATGTTCTCTCTTAAGAACATCACACTTTTCACTGAACCAAACACTTTTGGCGACACTTGTCGAAAGGTGAAGAGACAAGCACAATACTACAGCTCAGTACTTTTTTCTAAATACATTTTTTATTCCTCTACTTCTTAATTGCTCATCAGTGCAAAATAATGCTGTGCCGTCAATACTCTCTGTGCTAGTTTAACTACTCTTTTAAAACAAGGGAAGTCCTGACTCCTGATACCGGATACTATAGGCTGGAAAAAGAAAAAAACACTCTGAATAGTCTGAGCCTGACCCATTTGTTTAGAGTAGCTTGTATTTTGTGTCTAAGGCAGCATCCTAACAAACACAGGCTCATTGAAAAAAATGTGCGTGTGGTGTCATTTCTGCAAAATTATATTATGATGCTTCTTGCACATTTTACAACACTTTCAAAAGTGAAATTACCAGTGAGTGGCGCTTCAGTCCAAAAGAGATGAATGTGAATCTGGTTTTATTACGTTGGTTTTTGAAGATATCGCAGCAGTTCAAAAACAAAATGTCAAAATGCAAAAAAGTTCAATACGCTATTGTGTTAAAAAATACTAAACTAAACTCTAAACCTAACCAATAGTGTTAACAAAAGCAAACATGACATAAAAACTGAATTTTACTGAAGCAACCATGTTATTTATCCTGCTTCTACAAGTCTTTGAGCTCTTTTATCATGACTTGTCCCGGAGCACAAATGCAATACCATACCGGGTGCGTTACCAAGCAAGTTTACTATGTAAGAAAAGCAAAACATATAGAGCTGGCTATGTGATGCAAACTTCAAAATGTATTTGTTTACCAAGTGTGCTCTATGGTAGAAGTATGTTGCTCATAACAAAGTATTGTGCAAGGAATCGTGCAAAAATTAAGTCTTAATCAACAATCTGTCCCGTAATCAGAATAAAATTTGATTGTGTTTTACTGTCACCAGGGTTTATTTCAGCTGGAAGCTGCAGTGAATTGTATAGGTACTGTATGTTTTCAGTTTGTGTTTTTTCTTTCCCTCTCATTCTACAGATCCTCTCACTTCCTGTATAGCACTACATATGATATGCTACAGTTACTGTGGATGGCTCATTTTGTGACGTGGTGGTTGTATGTTGCCGCTCACTGATTGAGGTCCTGCTGTTTGTCATTGTCATGTCTCTATGGTGAGGAAGCTTCAAGTCATCGCTGGTTGTATGTCACCCCTGCTGCATTCATCACTCCAGCAGGGACTGTTTGTTTGGATGTTTATTATTCCAGTTCTGAAAAAAATAGTTTGGACCAGTGTTATTTTTGTTCACATAGATAATATTATAGTTTTTATTCATATTTTGAATTTGTTTTTATTTTATATTTCTTAATTTTAAAGTTTTAGTCAGCAGCATCCTAACAAACACAGGCTCATTGAAAAAAATGTGCGTGTGGTGTCATTTCTGCAAAATTATATTATGATGCTTCTTGCACATTTTACAACACTTTCAAAAGTGAAATTACCAGTGAGTGGCGCTTCAGTCCAAAAGAGATGAATGTGAATCTGGTTTTATTACGTTGGTTTTTGAAGATATCGCAGCAGTTCAAAAACAAAATGTCAAAATGCAAAAAAGTTCAATACGCTATTGTGTTAAAAAATAACACCTACACTAAAACTAACTCTAAACCTAACCAATAGTGTTAACAAAAGCAAACATGACATAAAAACTGAATTTTACTGAAGCAACCATGTTATTTTATCCTGCTTCTACAAGTCTTTGAGCTCTTTTATCATGACTTGTCCCGGAGCACAAATGCAATACCATACCGGGTGCGTTACCAAGCAAGTTTACTATGTAAGAAAAGCAAAACATATAGAGCTGGCTATGTGATGCAAACTTCAAAATGTATTTGTTTACCAAGTGTGCTCTATGGTAGAAGTATGTTGCTCATAACAAAGTATTGTGCAAGGAATCGTGCAAAAATTAAGTCTTAATCAACAATCTGTCCCGTAATCAGAATAAAATGTGATTGTGTTTTACTGTCACCAGGGTTTATTTCAGCTGGAAGCTGCAGTGAATTGTATCACTCAAATAATAACGTGTTTTATTGATATGCAAATAGATTCACGGTTCTAATGCTACATTTGAATAATGATTCATTACTAATGGTAACAAATTTTCCCACGCAATCAGAGAAAGAGTCTTGATAAAGTTTCAGTTGAGAACTACAGAAAGAAAACACGATTGTTGGTGGAAGTATGGATTTACTTCAGCGACTCTATCAGTATTCTGCTAGAGCTCTGTCTGCCATAGAAAGAGAGAGACAGACAGTTATGAGGGAGGAGAGAGTTGAGAAAAGAGCAAGAGAAAGATGCAGAAAGCCTGACAGGTATTCTAAAAGAGCAAACGCTCACCTCTGTCTCACACAAGAGAGAGCGCAAGAAAACAGCCGACGAGAAACCAGCGCTTAGTGTCTTTTCTAGCCTCTTCAACATCTATAAATTGTTGTCCTCAATTTCAATAATCTCAAGTCAAATGGGGTGAGCATTATGTAAAGCATATCCCACTGAGCCGAGCTGTGCATTACGGTTATGATGTTCGCGGTTTATACACAAGCTGGCCATTTTTATTTCTAACATGTATCTCTCAGGTAAGTCTATAGGGGTTTTTAGCCCACTTTTATTGTTCACCATTTGAAAAAACAAAGTCTGATTGCTTAGAAAAGTAGAATCACATTTAGTTAATGTTGACAAAATTACAATTAAAATTTACACTTCTGAACAACAAGCCAGAGATTTAAGGTCTGCAGCACAAATAATATGGGCAAGTTTAATACATAAGAATAAAGGTTTATGAATAATAAATCATTTTCTCATATTCTAAGTATGATTAGAATGAAATATTGTGGAATTATGAGAAAGTATGAGTCTAAATATTTAGCATTTTAAAATGCCATTCAAAGTGATCACAGTTACTCAAACTCATTCTCTCATCTGGAGTTCCAGCGGATTTGACTTTAGCCTGTCAGTGTGTGCTTTGCTTTTGGCCGTCTGTCAGGAGCCTGACGAACAGCATCTTGACGCTTGATGAATCAGTGAGTTTAGTGCTGCTGTGTAGCTGCTTGTCATTCTGTGTCTCCGAGCAGCTTCTTTCATCTTTCTTTCATTGCCCAGCATGTTATGTAATATGGAGATGCGGGCGAAAGGGCAGAACTGAAGATGCTGGTACCTAGTCCAGCACGGCAATATCTCAGGAACATCAGCGAGGACGAAAATAGACAGAAGGAGAGAGAGATCAAGACAAAACAAGAGAGAAAATGGAAAAAGCTGCATGGTTCAGGTACTGAAAACTCAACAGCTCACTTGACGCACTGTCAGTCACTAGAGTTGTGTTCTCTGATCCAGCTCTACAGATAAAA